ATATCATTTAAAAAAAATGCTCTGTGGCATAGAGGCATCTTATCGAATTGGTCTTCCTCGGCTTCCTCGTTGTTATCACATTAATAGTAACAACATCTAAAATGGGCCTATCAGCATTTGCGGGGGAAATTGCGGGCTAAACAAAGGGCACCTATGGGCTTACAGCTTATATTCTGATATTTTCGAGCAGGAAATGTTAACCTTGAAATGCTGCTATCTGCGCCTAACAATGTGTGATCATAACCCCATAAATGAGGGGAGAAATTGAATCCTTTTAAGTTATTAAGCAGGAAAGGATTATAAACTCGTCTTTATAAATGAGCTAGAAATCCCCATGTCTTCCTCTGTACACTTTTAAATTTCCCACAAGAAGCTGGAGAGGAAAGATTGCCCCTTTTCAAGAGCCCCACAAGAGATGGAAAAACCATTTTTGTACCCAGATAGGAAGTCGTCCCACATGGTAAGCGCCACTTTAATTAATAGACAGCCTTGAGAGGTATCACTGTCAGCTTGGATAATGGTGACAGAGCTAGTGTTTGTGCTTCCATGAATATTTCTCATGTGATCAAAGTCAAATGTCAGCAGAGAATGAATTTAAGCCTACTCGATTTTTTTTTTCTTATTTGCAGCCTAATGCTTTGGACACTTAAAGCTCCTGACACCGAAATGTCTCGCCGGTTTGGTAGGCCTACAAGCTTAAACTGAACTCCCCTAAAAAAAAATGATGCAGCGCTCAAATATCCGCTCATACGCAGCGCAGTTTGCTGTTATTATGTTGCACGGTTTGCTCACGTTACCTCGCTGGAACCAATAGACCAATTTGTAACAGTGTTTGTAGCGCTTGTCATCAAGTCTCGCGATATGTCATTAAATAACAAATTACACCATAATCTTTGAATGAAAAAAGGCTGATCTTTTTTTTTTTTTTAAAGAAGGGAGGGGTGGGGAGTGCATTGAAATAGTGACGGAAATGCGGAAATGTTTCTCTTTTTTTGTACGCTGTTAATTTTAATTTCTAAATCTACAATTTTAGCACATTGCTGATACCAAAATGGAAATTTGTCACACTAATGACAAAATGACGGCGAGACGTCGTTAACAATAATGGATTTACATCATGACCAAGCTATGGGCTAAATGTGCTCATCGTTCATCTATCTAAGGTGTCGATAGTATTATTATTATTATCATTATTATTATTATTATTATTATTATAGTTTATAAACAGTCACTGAAACCTGTTAACCTACCACTACTTGGACTACTGCAGTCTCGAAAGAAAGGTTAGAAAGGTACTTATGTGTATTTTTAAATTTTCTTTTTGTGTAAAAAACAAACAAAACAACAACAACAACAACAACAACAACAAAAAACCCAGAGGTGTCCGGGTGTCCGGACATCTTAAAAACAATTCACAATGTATATTTTCTAAAGAAATGTTAAAATGACCAAATAAAACTTATACAGCGTGTGTTAATTATTGTCAAAATAATTACTCTTTATGATATTTGTTTTCTTACCTTTTCTTTTATTAAGCTAAAAATGGAAAAATGAAATTGAAATATCATTACTTTTATTTTTGTACTGGAAATAAAAATAAAAATAATAAGAATAATAATGATGATGATGATGATGATGATGATGATGATACTACTACTAATAATAATAATATCGACGATGTCATGTCTTTCAGCTCCTGCCCCCTTTATAAGAGATGTAGGCCTACCGATGTAAATTCCAGTGAAATGTGGCTTGAGTGGCTGCGGGGACAGGGGAGGTTAATCCGAGTTTAATGCAGTGAAGCACAGCGCAGGGTCTGGGCTATGATGGGTATGTTATCTCTCCCCAACATTTGGGTCTCCCTCAATTTCCACCCAGCCAAATAGCTGCGAGAAAGTGCAGATGGAGTCACTCTCAATGCCTGAGGAAAAAACGTTATTAATAGCTAAATAACTTCCCCATACTTTCACTGAATCTCTCTCACACACTGTTCCAGATGGATTTGTTTGAAGTGGTCTCTCGCTTCATTCCCCTGTCCTTCTCATTCAGCACGGCTTTAGACCCGAAATATAGCTACATTATATTACCATACACTTAGAGACTGGGTGTGCGTGCACGAGGGCGCGCTTCCCTGTGTGCGCGCGCGCACACACGTGCGTTTGTGATGTGGAAAGCGCAGAGAGGGCAGCTTTTCACATTTTCATCACCATGCAGGCAGAAACTATTTTTCCCCTTGTTGCTTGTTTGTTTCTGTAGCAGATCACATGCAGGGTACCTGGCATTGAGGGGTAAACCTGAAGAAAACATGTTTCCGTCGTAATTAATGAAACATGCCGACTTATAACTGAAGCTGAAAAGGAAAAGAGACAATACGATCCACATACTTTTGAAGGAATGCAGTATGCGACTTACATTCACTGGATTCCAAATTGTATTTCACTGAATATGGATCTATAGTAACAGTTAGAGCCTCCTCTTTCCCAGTCCCACCTGGCTGTTTGGGCTGGTCTGGCTTCCTCACACCTCTCCTCTGCTCTGTCACTTTCCCTCCCCACTGCCTTGAAATAATCCCTTCTGACATCTGTTTAATTACACCGAGGACCTCAGGTAATCCTGCGATTTGCTGAAATGTCCATCGCGTGTCTGCAGCGCATCTAACGGTCAGTTTGGATGCATCGGTGTGGCAGATTGACGCCAGGCAGCTGATTCGCCTTCTGATTCTCACCGGGGTGGCGCAAAATATAACGATACCCACGTTTGCGCACAGCGGTCTTTAAGCACCTTCTTGCGCGCAATTAAAACCCTAGGACTGATTTTAATAGCCGTGCGTGACAACTGAAGTGCGCACCTTGGACTGGAAATTTGTTTCTGCACAAATTGTGGGATGGACCAGGATCACCACACCAAACATTTATCAACGACAAAAGGCCCTAAAAGCGAGACTTTTCCGGCGGTTATGCGCTGAGGTTTGATTGGTTTATTTTCAACTACAACCTTATGAAAACAAACAAACAGCTGTCTTCATGCAGCAAATAAAATCTACATTATTGTCATGTGGTTAGGACTTTAAATACACGTTTAATAAAGCTAGATTAAAGCTGGGATAAATCCGTGATGTAACCTCTGAGAAAATCAAATGCGCAGACCTAATAAACAAATAGATAAATAAATAAAGTCTTAAAATCTGGATAAGTAAACGAATAAAAAAAAATCTCATGAATTTTGTGCCCAGGGCGAGCCACTGTGAGCTCCGCTCTGAGATGAAAGTGAAAAGAAATAAAAGGCTCTATTTAATCTGCTTTAAAACCCCTCTCCACATAAGGGCTGTGCTTCAAACTCGGAGAGTGAGGGGCTGATTGGGGATAAATACATTTCTTACCATGCCTGCGAGCTATTACACCCGGCACGAACACAGCCACCTATTCAGCAACCATCGTTTCCAGTGCTTACTCTAATAAGTATTAACATTATTAAATGCCATCCGGTTGCTGGTAGTCTAAACTGCATTACGCAGAGGGTGCGTCTCTTTTTATAGCAACGTAAATCAACCCCAATTTAAAACACGAGCAGCGGTAAGGAGAAAAAAATAGAAGCAGGAGAATTATGTCTATATTGTGCACCATCAAAAAAAAGAAAAAAGAAAAAAGTAAATAGTCAATAATTACCCGAGGATTTTGCAGGTAAGAACTTCAAAATGCAAAACGTGTGCATCAGTTGTGCGCATTTTTTTTTTTATCGTTGTAATGATAATAAAAAATATTATTATGGTCATTTTGAGACTGCACGTTTTGCGGCTCATCTATATGAACATTGGACATTTTTGCAAGAAAAAGGTTGTTTTTTTCCCTAACATTAGCGCGTGGTGTGAAAGAAAAAGAGACCGTTTTCACGCTATCACTTGATTCTTCTCCAACGGACCATTATATAAAATTACAAAACTATCTACCAGCGGGGCGTACTGAATAATTCATCTCCTTTTATGTCTCTTCTTGCCCTTTGTCCAAAGTTTTCGCTCTCTCTCCCTCTCTCTTTTTTTAAACCAGGTTTTTGAATAAGAATGGACGGACCCATACTCTCCTTTTCGCTGCCCTGCTTTCCAGGATTTGCTTTTGTACATCGGACCCTTCACTTTATAAACCGCATCAATAGAGGGGAGGGCTTTTTTTGCTCGTAAAGTTCATCTTCAAGTTTGAAAAATTCTTCTTGGCCGTCCCTTTTTTTCTTTTTCTTTTGTGATAAAAAAAAATCTATTTAAACCCTTTCAGACGTTTGATTCAGACACTGTGCATTTCTCCCGCTTTCATAGCCAAGCGTAAAGAAATAATAGCAAAAAATAAAATATGATAAAATCAGAAGATCATATTAAAAAAATACCTGAAATTAAAAGAAATTTTCCCCATGATTCCATGGTCTAACAATTTCATAATTAATATACATAAAACAAGCTACAAAAACGAACGTATCCTATATAACAGGATATACCCAAAATCCTTCGAAGTGCCTCATAAATACGGAAGGCCCTGACAGCAAATACCTGCATCGCTTTATTTCCCCTCCTAGCAGCATCAGAGCAAATAATAATATGAACACTGATTTCCACTTTAACTGACAAGTGGTGAAATGTCGGTGAACTGACATCGATTGTGAAATGGGTCAACTGTCAGCTGTCGTTTAGAGGTCGTTAAATGAGTGAATGAATGAGGAGGAATTTGCTACACAAATTAATTTTCTGCAGTTAAATACCTTCTGCCAAGGCTCTCATAAATAATTGAGTGAATGAACAACGGCTGGCTCGGAGTTAAAAGCAGGAATAAATTCACTCCGTTTAGCTGCAGCTCGGGTGTGGGACAATTTCCCAAGAGGACGTGAAGTAGGAAGTCTATTTAAAACACTTGCTTCCTGATTACAAGGTTGAAATTTACTCTAAATAATATAAATAATAATAATTTCTTATTTCAGACATATACAAAAGGGCCATATATTTTCTGCTGTTAACTTACATTTATCACCGAGGATGCCATCGATGCTATGCTTTGTTTTCTTTTCTCCATCTTCATCCTTCTTATCACAGTCATCCTCGTCATCTTTTTTGCCAAATCGGGCCCTCAAAACGCGGCTGATGGAGCTCACTAATGGCAACAAAAAGGTAAACGGGTGATTAGCCCTAAAACCCATAAAAGAACCATAGTAATCCTATCATACATTTTTAGAAGGCTATACCACACAAAAATAGCACAGCAAAAAAAATAAAAATAAAATAAAATAAAAAAAGTTTTACATGAAGCAGCAGAAGCGCTAGGAAAATATTTTAAAAGTGTTTTTCTGTATTAAAGGTAAGTAAAATTACACTGTAATACAATGATGGGAATTTACTATGGAGCACTGAAGCCACATTTCAACGGGATGAGTTTTTTTCTGGGTCAAACAGCTGAAGGTGCGCCCTTTATTATCAGTAACTGAAGCTTAAAACGTGGGATTCAAAGTGATGTTCATTCAGAAGTGATGCTGCAGTGTTCGCTGGTAGTAGGGAAAAAAAGTGCAGCTTACCAGATGAAGCCTCACCTGAAGGAACTGTGCTTCTGTCGCACACCCCGTCCTTCAGCAGCTTATCCCGGATCTCCCAGCTGAACATGCCCGGGTTTTCTCTCTTGTACTCTTCGATCCGCTTCTCCACGTCAGGCGTTGCCACCTGCTTTAGGTTTGAAAAGGTGTAAAAAGGAGAGGGGGAAGACAAAAGAGGGGAAAAGAAGGAATTTCAGTTTTAACCGAGATGTGAAGATATTTTTGTTTTAGTCCACGAAAGATCAACGAAAAGATAAGACGAACGAAATCTAAAACGAAACTCTAAATTATGCTAAATAACTCTAAATTATATTATTAATAATTTTAAAATGTAGGATTATTTTTTAGTCGGGATATAGGCTTATGCAGGCAAAGAAACAGAAAACTGGCTAATCAGTGAGACATTTTTACGTTACCCTATTCACAATTTTATAAAGCTAATAACCAAATATAAGAAAAGAAAAAGGTATGAAATACACCACAAATATATTGTGGTTAATCAGTATTATATAATTATATCATTATAAAAAAATAAATGTTTGCTTCTCAATTTTTTTCTTTTAGCTTTTATTTTGTGTCATTTTAAAATTAATATTTGTATTTATTTTAGATCTTCATGAACCCTATAAAAATGTTGCAGGTGTGTTACCCACCTTGAGAAAATTATTATTATAATATTGCACTTCATCTACAATAACAACACAAACATCAGGTTTGAGTTCACTCAGGTGTCATGCGCTTTTTGCCACTCCACCTCCCCACCCCTCCCCACCCTCTCTCCCATCCTCTTGCTACTGTGACCCATTTCCTGGACCGTGGACCCCCACTCACCCTGGGCTTGCTGCCTCCTATGGCCCCGGGACGGATCGAGCCGGTCTCTTGGTACCGGCAGAGGATCTTGGAGACACAACCGTGAGAAACTCGCAGTTGTCGCGAGATTACGCAAGGTCGGATGCCGTGGTGGGCCATCTCCACTATCTTGTGTCGGATGTGATTTGGCAGGGGCCTCCCGTTGATGAACACTCCGCCAAGCTGGTTCACCCTACCCTGGCCCAGAGGCGTGGATACTGCGCCACAACAATAAACAATAAAAGTCTCAACAAACAACACAAACAACACAAACTACACATCGCGTTTCCTGTGGAGCTTTTGCTCTCTTCAGAGTACACCAGGCTAAAATTTTACTATAGTCAAACAGCTGCATATTTGTCATGTTCCTGACTTTTAATGGGACGTAGTTTACACACATTATCATATTATACATTTTCAAGAAAGCATCGTGCCAAATTCGTCCAGCCTCAGTCTGGCTGACAGGATGCTTGCAAGGCCACTTCAGGATCCAATTTCACATTCAAGAGACACTAAAGAGGGTGACACTTCTCACCTTGATTATTCCTAGTCATGCTGTACAAATATTGATGTGATCCTTTGAGCCATCTCTTTGCTGTGTGTATTATTGCCATTTCCAGCAGCCAGATACTTGAACAAATCCCGGAGCTCGAGTAACTTGCGAGCTACGTGGTTTTTGTACATTTCAGTCCAGAGCACTTGAGCACGAACTGGTTGTAAGGGGAAAACTGTTTCCATAAATGCATGCAAATACAAAATGCTCTCCTTTTTTGTTTCCTCCCTCCCTTTCCCCCGCCATATGTTCAGACGACTTGAGTGTGCTGGGCATCGCAGTTAAAAAAAATAAAGAAATTACCAATTAGATTGCTTTGCGTGTGTGTGTTTGTGTGTGTACGTGTGTGTGCAGCCATAAAAGTTAGAGCACTAAAAATGCTTAAAAAAATATACAATAAAGTAGCTTAAATTAAAAAGAAACTCTACATTTAATAGTAAATTTAGAATATTTTTTATTTTAATGGAAGTGAAAAAATAAAACAAAAGAAAAACGGATGCATTTGTCATTATAACAAATATTTCATCCACCATAAACAACATTAGCAAGAAAGATAATACGTTTGAAAATAGATTCAATATAGAAGAAATATAGTGTCATACAAAACACACACTTCAGAGTGACTCAACGCAGGAACATGAGGCTGGAGTACCGTTGACCATGACTTCGGGTTAACTTTCATCAGCACTGACTGGAGGCTCGTATTTGTCCACCCATCTTTTTCTTCCCAGCATGCCGCCGATAACAAACTGTGCTCTGTGTCACTACCACGGTGGAAGCTAACAGAGCGACGATCTTTATCAGCTCGAGTTCAGATGTTTTACACGTTTGGTCATTTTTCTTACCTTCCAGGGGGAAGCCGGTTCGGGGGTAGTTCTGGCCTGGCGCAGGGCGCACCATCCGAGGCACTGTTCCTGGTAAAGTAGCCATCATGTAGCTACACAGACAAACACAAACCGGGGTCTGCTCGAAACTGCTACTCTTAGAAAGTCCAAGCCAAAAAAATAAAAAATAAAATAAAATAAAAAAAACCCGGAATGTATTAAAAATGCTGAAAACAAGATGCTCTGCTGCTGTCAAATCCCAATCCCAGGCGGAGAAACTGGACTAGCCCTTCTTCCACCGGGGGAAAAAATAAAAGTGATGCTTTCCTCTGCTGCGATAGATATGCCAAAGAGAGAGAGAGAGAGAATAAAGAAAGCATCAAATAAAATCTAAAAAATCTCTACAAAGGAAAGTTTGCAAAATAGATGATTTGCACCCAAAGTATCTGCGGTAGATAAAATGCAGTGTTATTCTTTTTCCCTTGGTGTAGTTTGGATTCAGTGTAATGTCTGCTGGCTGGTTGGAAGTAGTTTAAGTGGCCAACTTTCGTGCATGGCGTAGGAGGAGACAGCCGAGCGCTCCCATAGGCTCACTGCCCTTTCTTTTATGGATGAAAGAGAGTGGGTTTAGCCAGGAGCCGGTCGACCAATCAGAACAACACATTCCACTTTTAATCCACTGCTGCCTCTCTCATAAGAGCCCGTACACCCAAACCAGTTCAAAATGTTAATATATCTAAATGTTATTGTAAAGCAATCTTTTCAAAGTGTGGGGCTGCCTTCATCACACCCAGCTGTCTAACCCTGTGGAATATTAATATTTTTTTAAATTACAACTTTCTTTCTTTCTTTCTTTCTTTCTTTCTTTCTTTCTTTCTTTCTTTCTTTCCATATTTAAAATATATATACATTTTAAAACACACGGAAGGCAAAGATAAAATTTCCCACACAGAAAAATTACGATTGTTACGTGAATAAAATAAATTCAAGCCTTTGAAATATTTACCATGTTATCATAATATTTACCTGTAAACAATCGACTATTATTACATATTACAAATAAAAAATATGGCAAATCACGACAGGAAAAATATCTAAATGAATTTACTAAAATCATGTGTTCGATAGTGGTATCCATATGCAAAAGTTACTCTTCCATTAATGCGCTGGTTTGAATTAAAAAAGAAAAAAAAGTCGGGCCCAAAATAACCGAGTTAAGGACTGAAGGTGTGTTTTCTGAATGGACAAAGTGCGCCACAGCTCAGCGAGGTTTTGAGTGTGAGATGCTTTTGGCTTGTTAACCTTTCAATTAAGTAAATGTGCGCAACATGAACATCTAAAACGCTCCTATATAGCCTTTGTGGTAATTACAACATTTGGATCGACCCGCTATTGACGACAACAGGTTGACTTGACCCGCTGGAGTACGCACAAGCGTAATTGCTCAAAAGGTAATTGTTTAAAAAATAATGCGCTATGACTATTAAAGTGGAATAGAAAGAGCACATATGGCAGGAAAGAAGAGGTGCATGTGTCAACTCTGTGGGCCCACCGTGCATATAAAATTGTGTGACAATTGCCGTGGAAAACACTCCTGGTGGAAGGCAATTTCACAAATAATTTTAGCAACAATTAGGGAGTGTGGAGGGGTGAAATGGCGATTTCACATGCAGATGTGCCGGTGGGAAGGGATCTGGTATCCTGCCGAATAGCTATGACCCTCACTCTCCCGCTTTGGTTTGCTTCACATGGGACAGAAAAGCACAAAGAGACCGCCTCACCCTCCTGGGAAGCTGCAAAGAGCACTGGATTAAGTCAAGCATCAATCATGTGAAATCCAAACAACAGCACATTTCTGTTACGGAAAGCGTGCTCTTTCACAAACATTTCCACCTCTCAGTTTCTCTCTCCGAAGCCACAACAGGTAGGCTTCACTGTGTTTCTGAAATCACACAGACACGCAAATAAAGCTAATAATCCCGCATTCCAAATATCATTGGTTCACCACCACCAAGTCTTGCCTCTGTTATGATAATTATTACAAGCCTGATAATAATTTGCTATGCAACTGTTTATAATTACACCCAAAAGAAAAGCTGTAGCAGAGTGCAGAAAAATTTACATTATCATGCATTTATGTGTGATGATGATCAGGGTTTAATATCTATCTATGTATATATATATATATATATATATATAACTACACAGGTGTTTTTTCCCCTCCGGGTTATATCCTCACATTTTTTTAATGTCACAATTTGCAGACTCACAGTAACAATTTTCGCCCAGTTAAAAGTTACACTGCCTTATGCATTGATAGCTTGCCAGGTTTATTTGTGCAAAAGGAACACAACAAGCTTGCAAAATAACACACAACTTAAGAGGTGAATAAAAAAGCGAAAGAAGCAGGTTTAATTCTGTATTGCACAAGGAGAGCTGTGAATCATATGAACAGAATCAGAGGTGTTGAAGAAAGATGCTGATTTATATTTATTTATTATATATACACATATATATATATACATATATATGTTTATGGCAGCTTTGATTTAATTTGACCTCTGGTGATACAGAAACTCTGTCACACTGTGGTAAAGATTTTGAGTATTTTTAATAGTGATTTTCATATTAGTTTAAAATTATTATCAGCTGCCATAAATATGGCGGTAGCATGTCCACTAGTGGGCGACTGCCGCTTCACTACTTCTAACAAATGATTTATGAGCAAAAAAGGGACAAAAGCAATTTTCTGAGAGCGTCATGTTGCTCCAAACAACAATTTTGTAGCCCTAATGCATGCATGCATTATGCATTAAGTGGAGTCTGACTCATGCTTGTCCTTGTCACACCCTAAACTTCATTTAGCCTGGTTGTTTCTGCAGGGTTTAGCACAGCTCATATAAGTAACTCTGTCACTTCAGTTTCCTTTTAGCGGCAGCAGACAGAAAAACACTTCCTCTCTCTCACGATATCGTCTCCAATCTTATCTTGATCGGGACCACTCTTCAAACACTTTCCTACATAGCCTCTCATTATTTGTGTTATGGCAATTACCAAAGTTTCTTTTTTGCTTGTAGGTGAAGACTCCCCCACCCTCCTATCTACACGTATTCTCTCAATACACGGCATTTAGGTTTCACATTGAGGCACACAAAAGAGAAAACACCTTTGATGAGAGGCATCGCCAATTTAGGCTTTATCTGCTCCTGAGCTGAACAAAGTCGATATAAACATTATTGTTATTTAGATTTTAACAGTTCTTTTATCTTCCATTAGGTGAGTGTGGTGAACACAGCAAACGGTGTGCTGAATATATTTAGATTTAGATGATTTTTTGTTTTTTTCAATATCTGCTGCTCATTCTTTTTTCTTTCTTTCTTTTTTTTTTTTTAAAAATTATGTCTGTTTATAAGGAACAAAAGAAACTCAAGACTCAAAATTTGGAAACTAAATAAGTAACGGTTCATAGATTTAGATCTTACACACAAAACATAACAAAGTTTTAGAAAAGTAATCTGAACTTTTAATAAAAATATATATAAAGTAAAATAAATCAAATATCAGCCACCTATTTAAAAAAAAAATTGTTGCCATTCATAAATATAAAATCTGGGTTATTATCTCACAATTTCTACTTAGCAATATACTATTTCACAATATTTTCTCAGTACTGAATGATTGTTTTCATAAGTCTGGTAAATTGATAATAATAACCCGAACCTTTGATGCCTCACAAAAAAATGTTTTAAGTGGCGTAAACAAGCTTCCATACATTCTGTTTTTCTTTTTTTTTGAATAACCTTACATCTGCACAAATACTCAGTACATGAACTCACTTTGTTAAATAAACTGCAACCCATAACATACAAAAAGGAAGTTGTTCATTGCATGAATATTGAATATTTTTACTACCACCATGTCTCCAATTCATGGTTTACTTCCACTGCGAGGCTCAAGGCTCTGGGGGGGGGGTCTTAATGAAACAGCGTGCTGCTTTGAGAGAGCTACACTTCCACTACTGCCTTGTTAACTTGAAACATTTTCACAGCAGAGTTATCCAAATGTGTAATCACTTCCTTATGGGAATTATTTTATCAGGATAGAGAGAGTATAAAATGCCTTCTAAGGAGGAGACTGGTGAAAAGCTTACGATGTGTTGTAACTGTAATTAAAGAAAGCTGATGTGAGATATTCATCTCATTATGTGTGGCACGGGGGAGGAGCTGTGAACAGGCATGTAGGGTCTGACAAGGTGACATTTGGTTAATAAGGAGAGCAAGGAGGCAGCGATTCTTTAAACTCATTCAGAACAAATTAGCCAACATGTGAACTCAGTCTCATCCTGGCTCGATACAAACCGTGCATAGTGTGTATAAAAAATAAAGAGACATGGTGAAACAGTGAAAGGTAAAAAGTAAGCCAGTGAGTTTGGAAAAACAAATTTGGAAAAGAAAAACAGAAATAAATGTACAATCATGAAATAGCTATAGTGTGCAGAAGCCTTTTGTCTTTTGGAAATAGTCTTTTAAAGAAAAATTAACTCCCATCTTTGGAGGTTAAGAAGATTTTAGTGATAAGAACAAGGGGAAAAAAAAATCTGTTAAAGCTGAAAAATTTTGCTTCACTTCTCTACAAAATCACTCTTTAGTTGATCTGTCTCTTATCTGGTTCAATAAACAGCCTCCTTTTGGGGCAAGACAAAAAAAATTGCTATGTGCTGCTTTGGAGCAAAAAGATATCAAACAACATCCTTTCCCTTCCTTGTTCCTCTCCATGCACTCACTCCGCGCTCACACACAATGTGTGGCAGGCTCAGAGGAAAAACAACATGTGTTACGTTGACATCTAAGTCTGGCGCCTGAATTATGAGTCATGGAGAAATCTATAACTCAACTGATGATCAAACACGGCTAAAGGCCACTTAGAGGGGGCAAGTCTCTGTGGATTTACAGAGATCAGAGGACTTGGCAAGTGAGAAACAAAAGACGGTCCACCCTTGGTAAAAATAAGGCAACACAATCAGATTTGACCAAGTTTTCAAGAACTGAAAGTGCGTGTTGCCGTCTTGTTGCAGCAGAATCAGCTGACTGATTGGTTCTGCGGAAATTAGTGGGGTTTGCAGGTGACATCACACAAACGGGCGGTCTCAGCTGGATGGGTGCAGGTGGGTGCAAGGGTAGAAGCAGCAGGCTGGGGTTTGATCTGTGGCAGAGTGGGTGACATCCTGTCACTGCTCATTATAGTGTGAATTCTGTTTATCTTCTGTAACACCTTCACTTGGCACCAACAGCAAATCTAGTGATGTGACACAGTAGATAGAGGTCTGGAATAGAGAGAAAGGAGTCCAAAACTAGTCTGATGGGTGGAGATAGTGCACAAAGACACACAATATAAAGTGATGAAATAAGAGGAATCTCACAACCAGGAAGCAACTGGAGACAAATAAGCATAAAATATAAGGCACATGATGAAGCGCTGATGATGACTGTTGTCTCCTCAAAGCCTCAGAAAGTTCAACAGTGCTCCTTTATCCCTCTTAGACAATATGTTAGGAGACCTGTTGTCTTCATATCCCGAGGCTCTTATCGCCCCACAG